TGTACTTAAATCCTGTAATGAAGATGTACAAGTTGGAAGTGAATTAAGTCATCTCTGTAGTCTAATTTCTGTAACCACCTTTTTTAGACATATAAAAAGCTTCAAATTTATATATTTGACATTGTAGAACAACATCTCTTAGGCTTGTGTTAAGCACAGACCTTATTTCAGGCATCTAACAGAAAACTGGACCTGCTGAATTGCAAACTCAGTTTTGGGTTTTAGACTCTCCACGACGCTGTCTCTACTTTATGACTGTAAATAACAAAAACCCCAAAGGCTGCACACAAACAACCATCTGATCTGACACCGATACACGTTGGCAGATACACTCACAAGTGTCACCTTAAATGGAATCAGGCTACAGAAAAAGAGTCATTTGTAGATGGTAAGCTAAGTGGCTAATGTGTTCCTGCTATCCATAGGACATATACAGCTCTCAGCTACAGTAAGCACTATGAGAAGAGAAGAAATAAGAGGGACAGAAAAAAAGCCTTCAAGATGAAATAGTGATGATTTCTTTTTAGCAGGCACTCAGTGTAAGAGGCAGAGTGGAACCTTTTACACTCTTCATCAGTCCTGGGAGGGACAGACAGGCAGGCAGGTAGACAGGCAGGTAGACGGGCTCTAAGTGGCTGCTTCATTAATGCTGCTCAACACTGATATGTTGAAATGGAACAGAAATGACGCAGTTGCAACCAAATCTGTCTTAAATGTTTGTAGTTTCTTCATACTGAGAGCATCACCTAGAACACAGACACAAAATTGTGTTCAGGCTTCTGTGTCCGTATGTGCCAAAATTGAACTGATTAGTATTTCTTTTTAAATCTTTCTACTTAAGTAAAAATGAAGGGAACATTACATTTTTCTAAGAGGCAACAAGAGCCAAAAAAAGCGATGGAAATGTATTTTATGAACTACACTTCTTGATAAAATAAAACTAAAACGTTCTATTTTATTTCACTACTTTTGCTAATGACTCTAGTGTTATTTTTCTAGATGTGTTACCAACAAGCAGATTTTCCTCTAGGTGTGCTGGCTTACTCATAGATAACATCTGCTGGCAAAAAGTTGCTTCAGTTTTAATGTACTGTGCAACAGACTCAGAATCAGAATAAGTACAACACAAAAAGCAGTTCAGTATCTTAAACTTTCTGTACTAAATATACCCACACACAAATACTATCATAAATCATTGTTCAATTCTCTGCTACAATTTTGACGTGTACAATGCGATGGCATTTGTGTAGCATTTCTTTATAATATTTACTGTTTTAAAACCGTGTAAACACAGCCCCTTTAAAATTTTAACATGCTATAACACCCAAAAAAACACAACTGTCGTACTTCAAAGAGGTATAAGATTATCTCAGTCAGAGCCAGTGCATTGACATATTGTACGTTTAAATTCATTTTGAAAGTAAATCAGGTTTCAGTAGATCACAGCTGAGGCAGCACCTCTGCCTCATTCTAAACCAGGAAAAACCCAGTCATTGTTATACTGGGGGAGCTCATTTAAAGCGAGGAAGTGTTGTTTTCACTTTTAATGTACTGGTAAAAGTTCCAAAGTAGAGAAATTAAAATTATTTTACATTTATGTTTTATGGTATGACTATTAAGAGCTGCAATGATTCATTGACTGACATCAAATGAATCATCTCAGTCATTTTTCAAGCAAAAATGCCCAAAATGAATCCGTTTCAGGCCTTCTCAAATGTTCAAATCTGCTGATTCTTAATATAAGCCAGCCAACTGAATATTTTAGGTTGGACTGAAGAAACCCCTATGGGTTGTGAGAAATTGTAAAACTTAACTATTTAATCAGAATAATGAGAAGAATGAAATTTGAAAGCTAGAGTATTGGCCTGGCATATAAGTATTTTTTCAGTATGTGTCTGTGTGTGTGTGTGTGTGTGTGTGTGTGTGTGTGTGTGTGTAAAACCTTACAGTGAGAACTAAAAAGGATAGCAAGGTTTGTAGTCAAACCAAATTACCCTCTCTCTTTCTCTCTCTCTCTCTCTCTCTCCCCCCTTCATGCCTCTCTCATCTCTGCTGCTCCTGAATGTGTGTGTGTGTGTGTGTGTGTGTGTGTTTGTGTGTGTGGGTAAAGCAAAGGTTTGAATAACAAGCAGCCAGCTAAGTGGGTCAGGGTCGGAGGAAGGGGGGAGAAAGGGGGAGAGAGACTATTAGGATGACAGACAAGGACAAAGGAAAAGAGAGAAATACAGTGTATCGAGGAAAAAGGGAGCAGAGTGAGGTGGGGAGAAATAAGATGTACAGTATAGTTGATAAGGAGCTGGAGAAAACAGTAAAGAAGGGAGTTTAAGGGAGAAAGAGTGATATGGAGTGAGATAAAGAGGTAAAAAGACTCCATTTCCTTCAGACCTAAATTTCAGCTAATATCCTGTTGAACTAAATTGGAAGTCTTCATTCAGGCTTTTAAAATCATTACGAAAAAAAGTCAAGTAAAATCACCTAGTATTCAATCTGAAAATGTGCCACTGAGGTGCGATTCAAAAGAAGTGTGAAAAAAGAGGAAACATCTGACCTCACTGTCAGGATTTCTTACTGAGAATGAATAGATTTTAAAGGGTGAAATGATGAACGGGATTCAACTTTCACTCAAACAGAATTTAGATATATAGTTAAGATATTTGCCAGATAACTAACAATCCAAATAAATATACTGTAGTAGAAGTTGTGTGTTGGGTAACCATGCCAGCAGTATGTTTGCAGTGTTGGCTTTGACTTCCTGTTCAAATAAAGCCATAGATGGAAACATGACGTCTGCTTGGGCTGTGAGGCTATCTGTGTAAATGTGTCAAAAAAGATGCAGTTAAATATCTGGAGAGCGTCTTTATCACTCGTCGGTTCGGGGCGGCGTGTGAAACTATTTGGCT